GACCGCGCTGCTGGGCGCCAACCTGCCGGTTTTGCCCAGGGGATCGCGCAGCCCAACTCCAGTTCCGCACTCTTCGCGCAGGGCCAGCAGATGGTACACCACGCACGCACGCACGCACGCACGCACGCACGCACGCACGCACGCACGCACGCACGCACGCACGCACGCACGCACGCACGCACGCACGCACGCACGCACGCACAGGCTCACACACGGTGATGAATCCATCACAGATTCGAGACGTGCTGAGAGAGGAGCCCACGCTGGCGGTGGATCTCCTTGCCGAATGCAGCGGCAGCCTGCGCAGGTATGCCGTGCAGCCCTGCAGCCCTGCAACGCTTGACTGTTGCCAAGAACACAAGTGTTGCTCAAACACAAACCCAGGTACAAGCGCGTCCTGGCCGAGTGGGGCGTACCACACATGCACAGGCCCGACGAGACCGAGTACCTCATCGCGAAGCTGCGCGCGCGCACGACGCGCTTCCCACGGCCGGTACGGCGCTGTTGCGCTCGCTGCGTGCATGTCTCGCCGCGGTCTGACCCTTTCGCTCTTCCCATAATCGGGGGGGCGTCATTCTTTGCAGGCGCTTGCCTCCCATTGCGCGAGGCCATCGCGGCCAAGCTGGCTGAGGCCGAGGAACAGGCCCGCATCGACGCGGCGATCGCGGCCGACCGATCGTCTGCCACCCCGCCTGCGCCCACCTTTCCGCGCATGTACCCCGGCCCGACGCCGCCCGCAGATCTTCCCTGAGAGCGTGTTTCGGGCACCACACACGCGTTGCATTCCAGACATTCTTTCGATGAAGCACGGAAACAGCTGAACTTTGGTAATAAATATTAAAAAAACAAAACTCAACAAGAGAACAACACAATCACAACAGCTAAAAGATGTCGATATCGGTGGTGTCGGCTGAACAATTGGAGGCGCTGCGGGGCATGTTTCCAGGGGAGACGCCAGAGGGCCTGCGGCGAGCGCTGCGAGAACACAAGGGCGACCTCGATGCGACGATCGAGGCCCTCCTCACGCAAGCCACGGCCGCCCCGCCCAAAAACAAAGGTGATGGAGCCGTCGATGACAAGAAGCCATCAGCGAATGGATGGACGTGCCAGACCTGCACGTTCGAGAACGAGGTGGGCTGCCGCCGCTGCGCCATGTGCGAAGGTCCTGGCCCCAACACAACCACCCCTGCCCCCATCACACCGCCCAAGGTACACCACCTTTGATTTTTTTGTTTATTATAATGCCAATTATACTCTAATAGTAATAAATAATATTTCAAATCGCAAAATAATTACTCAATTCTATTTCATTCGATGCAGGGTGGAGAGGGAACGGACAACGCGGTGGTGGTGCCGCCCTGGTGGAACACATTCTGGCACGAGCACCGAGCCACGCTCAACTGCGACGAACGCGCCGCCAAGGAGATCTCTTTGCCGTGCGTGTGTTGCCTCTTCTCTCTTTTGACATCTTTCTCTACACTCGACGCGTCGAGAGGGTCATGAATCATTGGTCGCTTACAGCGCTACTTGATGGATGTTCATCACACCACAGGGCGGCCGCTTCAAGAACAGCCAGATCCTCACCGTCGATGTCAAGTCCAAGATCTATCGCCTGCTGGGCGCCGAGGAGGTGCACCACGTCGCGCCACCAGACAACGATCAGGGCGACGACTACGATGATGATGGTTTCAACCACGGCTTCTTTCCGCCTCCCGCCTTCCCCCGGCCTCCGCGCTACCGGCCCCTGGGCGGCGGACTCCACCCGCCCTATCCCGCGCACCCCTCCTCCGGCGGCCTGCCCTATCCTCCCTATCCCGGCTATCCGCACCACCGGGCCATGGGCTAGACATGTTGCGGCCAAGCACTTTGTACACAGTTATAATGATGAGAGAAAGAAGTATGTTGTTCACAACACAATAGCAATCGTGCAGTCGTCCACGAGCAGGTTCGACGACTTGAGATCGCGGTGGAGCAGCGGCGGATCGAGCGAGTGGAGGTAGCGCACACCGCGCGCGGCGCCGTAGGCCATGTGCATGCGCTGGGTGAACGTGAGCGGGAACTCGGAGGCGTAGGCGAGCACGCCGGCGAGGCTGCCGCAGGGCACGAACTCGGTGACGAGCGAGAGGTGCTTGTCGCCGATGGTGGCGCCGATGAAGAGCAGGACGTTGGGATGCGAGAGCTCGGCGAGAGTGGCCACCTCGACGCGGAATCGGAGCGCCTGCTCCTCGGTCATTTTCGACCGGTTGAAGATCTTGACGGCGACCGGCGTCGACTTGCTCCACAGGCCCCTGTAGACGACGGCGCTCGTCCCGCGTCCGATCACCTTGCCGGTCTCGATCTCGCGCGGGTCAATAAACCACCGGCACTTGTTGGCCGACACCAGCAGGCTCATGTCCTCGGCGGGCAGCTGGAGCACGTCGCAGTCGTCGTCGTCGTCGTCTTCGTTGAACCGCACATGATTCTTGGCGCGCATCTCGAGCGAGTTCACGATCAGCTGGTAGGCGATCCCCTCGGGCGCCGCTTGCTCGAGATCGATGTTGCCCATGTGTTGGATCCGAAGGGGACGCATCCGCCCGATCTCATCGGGCAGGTCGGTGAGCTCGGCCTTGACGTCGGGCGACACAAGCACCTGACCCCCTGACGACACGTGCGCGATGGCCATGGCTCCCTTCACCGCCGGACCAATGTACTCGACGCGGCGTGTCTTGGGGTCCATGATGCGACGCACCGGGCCGACGTGCACGCCCGTGCGCACGCGCAGTCCGCGGTAGACAAAGTGTTCGTCGGACGAGTTGCCGTACTCGGCGTGTGCGCCGTTGATGCGCAGCAACCCGGCGGCTCGCACGCCGCCGAGTGGTAGAGCTCCCACAGCCGATCGGCTCCGGAGATGTCGCTGATGACGACGTAGACGTCGCCGTCGTGCGGTGGCGGTTGGGTCGTGCCATACCCGTGGGCGGTCGGCCGGACGTTGCCGTAGATGGATCGCATGGACGACGCGTTGGATCCGGACGATCCGCGCGTCATGCTGCCAGAGTTGTCGCCCGAGTCGTCGACGCGCTTCTCGGGGGCACACGCGCCCGCAACGATGTCGAGGGCGTTGATGATCTCCGGCAGCGTCGGTCGTTCAACGACGTCCTGGGCCCAACAGCGACGCGTGAGATCTTGCATCTCGGTGACTTCCTTCTCATAAACGAGGTCCTGGGAGTTGAGATACGGCGAGGGCACCACGTCGTCGTCGAACACGGGTCGCTTCTGGTCACGGATGACGGCGACCGCAATCGCGGCTGGTGACATCCCAT